ACTTAAATAATTCTAAAGTATTTGACACATGAAAATAATATTAGATTTTGATAAAATTCGAATTATTTAAAAAACCTTTAGATTTAGACATTATAGATTTTATTAAAACAAACACTTATTTTGCTCAGATAATCCAAAAATGCAATAATATGTAGAATATTTCATTTATAAAAACACAACTTTGATACTTTTAGCGCTTTTGGGACACTCTGTACATTACAAAAATATTTTTAAAATGTGCACCCGATAAGCGTCTGTGGATTCATCAAATAATACTTTGCAAAAAACAAACTGGCTAGCCGCAAACGTCCGTGCCGTATACCGTGAATAACCCTGTATAATTAATAAGTTGTACATGTATGAATAATAAAGTTTAATTTCAACTTACCTGAAAAATACGCCTCTGTAATTAATATGATCAATCAGATTTTTACCCACTGGTAAATCCACCAAAGTGGTGATGTTATGTTCGTCCAATTCCTCTTGTGGGCCAATCCCGGAGAGCAGTAAAAGTTGTGGTGAACCAATAGCTCCTGCCGACAGAATGACTTCTTTGCTTGCTGTAGCCGAATAAAGAGTTCCATTTTGCCAAAATTGGATTCCAGTCGCAGTGTTATTGGAAATATCTATCTTAGTGACCAAAGCCTCGAAAATTAACTCCAAATTAGTCCTGTTTAGAACTGGACGCACATAAGCATTGGCCGTTGTTGACCGAACATTGTACTTCTGGAAATATTGAATGCGTCCAACATTGTATTGATCTGCTCCGTTATAATCGCCTTCGGTTTTGCCAAGTTCTGTAAAGGCGTTTATTATCTCTTGCGTCTGAAATTAAGCAAAATAATCAAGATGTTATTAATTTTCCAACAACATAGTAAAATGTTGTTACCAATGTCGGTGTATCTTCAGCCACAGTAATAGACTGTGGACCGTCGGTTCCTTGATAATCCGTGTCAATATCAACGGAAAAATTGCCAAATTGAGATTTTTTGAAATATGGTAGACAGTCACTATAAGACCAGCCACTGTTTCCGAGATCTTCCCACTTATCAAAGTCAGCTGCGTTACCTCTTACGTGCATAGCCCAGTTTATGCTGCTGCCGCCTCCTAAACCCTTTCCAGCGGTGAATCTGCACTTTTGGTCAGGAGACGCTGCATTTTAAAGAACAATTCGTTTACATCTGGATTGAGTTGAACTTCTTGAATTTAAAAATTGTTACCTAAGCACCCTTTGGTTTGGACCGTGCTCCAATATCCCCAGTTCCAGTCAGAATTCTTTAAATAGGCGGCTAGGCCAGTTATTCTAGATATTGGCGGATCTACTTTGCCGGCTTCAACCACAAGAACTGTGAAATTTTCTATTTCGGTAAGACGATTAGCCAGTACTCCTCCAGCCGCTCCACCCCCAACAATTATGAAGTCGTATGTACCATAATCTGAACAATATAAGCAACAATTAATTCACTCTCGCCCTGTAATATCAGTGGCGGATTAACCGAAGGCCTAGCAGGGGCAGGAATATTTAAAATCCGTTCACATTTTACTGCCTTTAATCCGCCCCTGTGTATTATATCTGTAATATTCCGGACGACATAAAGTAAACTATATTGTTACTTAGTAGTAAGTATACTTAAATTCATTAAGTATGTAAAATATGTACTTGAGTCAGCTAACTTTGTTGCAATTCAATTTATTAAGTAGGTAGTTTTTGATTAATTGAAATAATTTTGTCACATCATGCGAGATAATAGGTATTTTCATTTTATCTGTAACAAATATTTGATAGGACTTTGTTACTTAGTTTTCTATGTAAATATGCTTAAACGATAATAAAAAAATGGACTACAATTTATATATTATTATTATTATACGTTTTAAAGTAAAATAATTAGATAGACTTGGATAGGTATTAGTGTTCGCGTTAGCGCGCTAATAATTAATTTTTTTTTGATAATTATATGACCGAATGAAAGGAACTTAGCACTCCTTTTCATTAAAACCACGTTTTTTAATAAATAGATTCTATTGAAAACAAGAAAATTTTAGTTTTTGCTTATTACTTTAAGAAGTTCCCAAAAATGAAGCCATTTGTTATACGATCTTGAAATGAGATTCGGTAGCAGTTCTAAGTCCAAAAATGTATCGTAAATATTTAATTTGAGGAGTGAACAATTCAGAAGTAGCAGAAGATATAAAAAAATTATACTGATCCTAAAAATAAAATA